GCGGAAGAGCATCACGAAGCTACCCTTGCGGGACGTGAGTGCGGAGCAGCGGGACACGTTGAAGAAAGATGTCTGCCGCCGTTCGAAGAGCCACGTGAACGCCGAGGAGGTGGAAGACATGCGGGACCGAATCAACACGCAAGTGGAGGACGGACCCACGGGCCCCCGCGATCTGGCTGACCGCATGGAGTTATCAAATGCAAAAATGTTTGGGTCTGGAAGGTTGGAACTTGTGATGCTAGCTTTGGACTCTGAAAAAATCTGTATTGCGTGACCACCAAGAGGAGTCTAGTTGGTGCTACGCGGGGAGGGCATTCGTCATGCGGAGTAGGCATCAGGGAGCCCTCCAAAAATCTGTGATGCTAGGGCGTGCATTGCCGACGTCCTGGGTCATGCAAAAGATGCACGACAGACCCGGCAACATTCCAGACCCAGACACTTTTGCATTTGATAGGCGTATCCCATGTTTTTCACCCCGGTCGACGAGTCCGGGAAAAACGGAATGCGAAAATCAGAGATTCGAAGACACTGCGAAAAGCAACGCAAGGAACTGGACGAGGAAACGTATCGGCAGCGTGTTGTATTATGACAGTGCACAACTCCACCTCCCCCTCATTTGTCATGCAGAATGTCAAATCCAGTTGCTACCCGGTGGCACTATCTGCATCACAAATTTTGGAAGCCCAAACAGTACTACACTCAGGGCATGAACTTGTCATGCATACCATCCGCCTGTGTTGGTGTTTGTATTGCTGTCCATGCATATACAAATGAGGGGGAGGGCGGGGAGTTGTGCACTGTCATATATATCCCATGTAGACCAAACTTGAATCATCACCGGAAGAAGTCGAAGTCTCGTGCAATGCGGATGCGGAGCATGCACGTCTACTATCATTTGAAGTTATATACAGTAGGCACTCAAGCTTGTGGTGGTGCGTGCTTGGTGCTCGTTCATCGTGCATCTCACGTGGGGGGTCGTAGCTTTTCCGCTCGACGGGCCCTCTGTCTAATGGAAGGTGGAAGAGTCTGTGAGGGGGGGCTCGCTTGAGCCAAGCATCGGGACCGGCCGGAATGCCTTTCTTTTTGTTGAATCCGTTGCCGCTCGATGCGCCGGGCGCCGAGCGGAAGGGGGGCCAACCTTTCAGAGGAGCCCACTTGGGCACGGGAAACAAGCACGATACCCGTTCCGGCTTGCTGGTATTTCTTTCCGCTCGACGCGCCGGGCGTCGAGCGGAAGGGGAGCCAGCGAACCTTCTGAGCCCACTTTGGCACGGGAAACAGGCCGGATATCTGTTCCGGCTTGCTGGTATTTCTTTCCGCTCGACGCGCCGGGCGTCGAGCGGAAGGGGAGCCAGCCTTCTGAGCCCAATTGGGCACGGGAAACAGGCTGGATATCTGTTCCGGCTTGCTGGTATTTCTTTCCGCTCGACGCGCCGGGCGTCGAGCGGAAGGGGGGCCAAGCTTTTTGGCCCACTTTGGCACAGGAAAAAGGCTCGGAATCCGCAGGAACCTTTGGGGGCCCATGATTTGAGCTTGGGCGCTTCTATCGTTTCCCCGGTGTCGTGGACGCCGCTTGGGTAACGTTATTAATACAGCGCAAAGAAGTAGAAGTAGTGGTAGTTGCAAACCAACTCTCGTGGTGGTGATTTTGCACAGCATATGCCGCCAAGGCGACCCAGACGAAGGACTTGAACTGGCTCAGCTTGGAAAGCCACCTGACGCGCTTCAAAAGAGAGATGGCGGACAAAAACATAGATCTTTCCTCCTGGAAGCGGAATCGAAAGATGGAGACAAACGCGACGGGGGCCACTGCACCAGGACCAGGAGCTCCTGCAAATAAAACCGCTGTCGCTGCGAATTTTAGCTCCTCTAGTGCAACGAAGGCGACGAAGCCGACTACAGGTCTTTCCTGTGTGGGTGGTGGTGGTCTTGGCGACAAGGGACCACAAGATGCAGCTGCGGGCGAGCAGAAAGACCTCCAGACGACGGCCGCTGCACCAGCATCGCTTCCCGGACCACGTAAGGAAAAAAGCGACCCCGTTGGCCAAGAAGGTGGTCAGAGCAGCACAGCTGAGAAGCAGACTGGTGGTGCTGCTGAAAATCTCGTCGCGGGCGGGACGAGCAGCTTAGCTACAGACCTGGTCCCTGTGAAGAACAAAGATGAATCATCTCCGCCGGCAGACGACGCTGTTGGACCTCCAGACACCGCCGCGCCACCAGCAGCTGCAGCATCTTCACATAGTGCTCAGCGTCCGGCGGCCCCCCCGGTGCCGGCCGATCGCCGCCTGCATTTGGACCAGCCCAGATCTTCTAAGTCGACGCATAATAAGTGTGCGAGGGATCATGATAAAAATGCTGACACGACAAGGACCACGTCGACCAGGGTTGCAGTAGACCAGAACAAGGCTAAGGCTAAGCACCGAAACGAGCAACATGCAACGAGCTCCAACCAGCACGGCAGGAAAGAAAAACAGCAGGATAAAGTGGCCCACGGAGATCATCGTCGCGGCCGAAAGGGGAGCAACGACATCAGCAGACAGGAGATCAAGGCGGTGGCGAAAGAGGCACGAAAGCCCCGGGCGAAGAGTGTGACGCCGACCTCTAAGGAGTGGTGCCTGATGCCGTTCAAGCACGCGCGCATGCTTCAGGACGAGGAAGCGCAGCGCGCAAAGGAGAAGCGCGAGCGCGAGAATATGAACTGCAAAAGTAACGTACTAGTATAAATTGCATTACAAGTTGACTCAGCATTACAAATTAAATTTGTCATGCGGATTTGCCTTAGCAAAAAGATTTGTAATGCATAAACGCAATTAGTACGAGTGCGATACTTTTGCACAGGATAGAGAAGCGCAAGAAACGCGACAAGGAGGAGTCTCCGCGGGACATATATGGAAAGCGCGTCAATCCGTTCCTGTGCGAGCCGGTATCAAATGCAAAAATGTCTGGGTCGTCTGAAAGGTTGCAACTTGTCATGCTGTCTATGGAAGGTAAAAAAAAATCTGTATTGCATGACCAGCAAGGGGAGTTCAGTTTCAGCTACGCGGAGTGGGCGTTATTTCTCAAGCGGAATACGCATCGGAAGGCCCTTGGAATAAAATCTATGATGCTAGGTCATGCATTACAGGCGTCATGGGTTATGCAAAATATGCATGACAAACCTGGCAATCTTCCAGACACAGACATATTTGCATTTGATAGCCGATACGATCGGACGACGAGGAGGGGAAAAAGTTGCACGCAACAATTCCGTACGCTGTGTAAAAGCATCGCACTCGTAGTAATCGCAGTCGTGCATTACAAATCTCCATCCCAAGGCAAAACACCAGCATGACAAATTTCATGTGTCATGCTGAGCCAACTTGTATTGCGATTACTACTAGTACAACTACAATGCTTTTGCAATGCATATTCCGCAAAGGTTTCTTGACCAAGCCAGGAAGAGAAAAGAGGAAAGGCAGAAAAAGATTGCGGAACAGGAGAAAAAAAAACAAGAAGAGGAAAGGCAGAGAGAAGCTCGCGACGCGGAGGTAAGAGCAAAGTATGCAGCTCAGGCCACCCTTCTTCAGCAGCCTGGTGCCAGGATGAATCTTCAACAACACCCTTCAGCATCTTCTTCTTCTTCCCACCAGCTGTTGTCTTCTAGTACGAAGAAAAATGTTGTGGGCCTACCAGCTGCTGCTGGTCGTGGTACAGCTACAGCTGCCACCAGGAGCGCCTCCAGTGGGGCTACTTGCTCCTCGATGAATGATGCCAGCAATGATGTTACCGCTATCCTCGATGAACTTCAGTACGGCTCCAATCCTTTCCACCGCCGTCCGCCTCTGTTTGGAGAAAGGCACCCGGGAGATCCGCCACTTGTGAAGCCTTCCGCGGCGGGTCTACATTTTTTGCAGAGCCAGCTGTCTGCAGCCAGAGCCAAGAATGGGATCATGCTGAACAATAACAAGCCTCCTGCTCTAGTGGGAAATATCAAACAGCATGCGCCGTCGGCGCCGGCGCAAAAATCGGCTTTCCCAGCGGTACAACCACGTGGAGTTGCGGCGCTGTCTACGGCGGCACTGAATGTTGGACGCACACCAGCTGCCATGACCAGTGGCGGTGGAATTATCGCTCCACCTTCTTCCAAAGCTGCAGCCTCCGTTGCAGCACCTTCAGCCTCCTCGGTCTCGAAAGGAAAAGGATGTGGTCCTGCTGGTGCGTCCTCGACCACCACCTCGAAAGGGAAAGGATGTGGCCCTGCTGGTGCGTCCTCGACCACCTCGAACGGAAAAGGATGTGGTCCTGCTGGTGTGTCCTCGACTTCCACCTCGAAAGGAAAAGGATGTGGTTCTGCTGGTGTGTCCTCGACTACCACCTCGAAAGGATGTCCTGCTGCGTCCGCACAGTTGCTGACCACCACCTCCGCAAACAAGAAGGGCCAGAAAAATGAGAGAGCAGCGGGTGCAGCTGTGCTTGCTTCTAAAAATTCGACCACTTCTTCTGCAGCTCCTCCTCGGACGGTGAACGACGACAAGGGGGGTGAAGGCAAAAATGTTAAAAAAGATGACACGACAGGAGCTCCGGCACTTCTCTCCGCTGGTAAAAATAATCAAAATGAAAATGGTGCACCAGCTGCGAGTATCAACTGTAAAAATGTCTGGGTCTGGAAACTTGTGATGCTGTGTGGCGTATCATGAGGAGGCCCACAATTACTGGCTCAGCATGACAAGTTTCTGAGCTTCTAGGTGTTGGCTATTCTGCATGACAAACTACGTTTCCGCATGACAGAAAAGTGGGGCTCTTTGGTAATGTGCATGACAGATTTAAGAGTCATGGTCATGCCAGACAAGCATGACAAACTTGCATTCTTCCAGACCCAGACATTTTTAAACTTGATAGCGAGTCAGAATAAAACCGCCACTGCGAAATCAAAATTGGCGAAGCCGGAGGCTTCTTCCAGCAGTGGCTCCTCGGGTTCTTCGTCGTCTTCGAGCAGCGACAGCGACAGCTGTTCCTCATCGGAGGACGAGGATGGGGTTATCCAGATATCCTCTGTAAAAGTAGCGTGCTCATAGTCATCGCAGGTATGCATTACAAATCTAGTTGCTTAGGTAAATCCGCATTACAAATTCCGTTTGTCATGCTGAGCTAATTTGTATTGCAATACTGCGAGTGCGATGCTTTTGCAGTTCATACTAGAAGCCAAGATGCAAAGAGAAGCTGGCCGACGAAGAGAGACAGGACGAAGAGGAAGATGACGTCGTTTATGCAATGCAAAAGTATCGTACTCGTAGTAATTGCATTTATGCGTGACAAATCGCTTTATCATGCTTACAGAGCTATATGCAATTTATACTAGTACGATGGGATGCTTTTGCATTCGATAACGTTGGGGTTATCCAGAAGCCAAGATGCAAAAAGAAGCTAGCCGACGAAGAGAGCGAGGACGAAGAGGAAGAAGTCGTGAAAAATAAGCCGCTTGGAGAAAACGCTCAGCCCCCGGCGGCGGATGAAATTGAAAGTGAAACCACTGCTCATTCGAAGGCGAAGTCCACATCACCGACATCTGATGAAGTATCCGCGGGACCGTCGAAAGTTGTGGTGCTCGGTGCACTATCAAGTGCAAATATGTCTGGGTCTGCAAACTTGTAATGCTAAAAGTGAATCCTGTGAATGAGAGTTCCACTGCAATACGGAGCCAAGCATGACAAATTTTTGGGCTCCTATGTGTTGCGTGTTCCGCATGGCAAACTGCGTTTTTGCATGAAATGGAGCCACGGAAGCGTTCTTGCTGGACATTGCCAACATTTGCCCACGCAGAGCCGTCCTCTTGCCGGACACAGCCAACATCTGTCCGAAACAGCCTAGGGCCAAGACGACACCGCGAGGACGACCACAGGGGGGCCGTCTCAATGATGATGATGATGACAGATAAGAGGACAGCTTCGTGCCCATGCGTCACAGATTCTTGAGCCATGTCAGACAAGCATGACAAGCCTGGGAAAATAAATAAACTTGCCCGGGAAAATAACACGCAGCGGGGCAATCAGGCTTACCAGTAAGCCAATCGAGGCCTGCCCTTCCTCCACGTCGTCACATGTGGTTATTGGGTTCAGTTGGCATGTGTCAGGGGGTTCCTGTCTTTGGCATTCCCCGGCTCCTCCCATGGCTGCGCCCCGATGATTGCCGCCGGGGACATTCGTATGCAGTCAGCCGGATGACTGTGACCTGGCTCGTACTGCGAATGCAGCTGGATGACTGTGACCTGGCTCGTCTTCGATGGGCAGGCGGATGACTGTGACCTGCCTCGCCCATCAAGATTCCTAATCCGTAGCTCCTAGACGTTGCCTGGCCCGCGAATGACTCCAGGGCAGCCGGATGACTGTGGCCTGGCTATAAAGGGCTTCGTCGATCGATTGTGCCACTAGGGCCTTGTGTTCCGGCTACTCCGGATCGCAATCGATGGAGGGCGGGACCTGCACCGGCGACAGGCGCTACCCAAGCAACCAACCAAGCCTTGCATTCTTCCAGACCCAGACACTTTTGCATTTGATATGCACCTGCGGCGCAAGATGAACCGATGTCCTCGTCCACGGTCATTGATACACCAGCTACGGAGACGAGCTGTAAAACGAGCCTCGAGAAGCAAGATGATCTTCCAGTCGACGCGGCTGCTAAAAATCCTACTACTTCTCAAGCGGAGCTGCAACCCTGGTGGATGGATGCAGATGCTGGATGGCTGCAACCGAATGGAAAGATGGATGCAGATGCTCTTGCAGCGGATCATGAGGAGGCGAAGGAAGGTAAGTATATGCTTCTGTTCTATCTTCAGAAAAATCGAATCGCGAAGAAATTGTCTCGCTGCTTATCAAGTTCTCGGCGGGTTTCGCTGTCTCTCTGAGCCGGGGCAAAAGGGCCGCCCCCGGGCATTTCCGCTCGCATCCCAATGTGGGACAAAACCTGCGGCGGCTTGCCAGGCCTTTCTGGGTTCGGGAAAGCGGGCCGCGTCCGGGCATTTCCGCCCGGGTTTGTCCCGCTTCCCGATTCGGGACAAACCGGAGCGGACCGCCGCGGCATGCCGGGTCATTGTAAGCCGGGGCCAAGGAGCTGCTTCCGAAAATTCCCGCCCGGGCTTGTCCCGCTTCCCGGCCCGGGACAAACCAGGAGGCGGAAGTTTGTCCCGCTTCCCGGTTCGGGACAAACCGGAGCGAACTGCGGCGGAATGCCAGGAAGTCTGTCGGAGCCGGGGCAGGCGGGCCGCTTCAGGGCATTTCAGAATCGATAGCAAATATGATCGAAGTAGGAAACTGGTTTCAGCGCCATCGCTTTGAATTCATTACCAACCACGGAACCAACGACCCCCCAGGTAATGCTGCTGCTGCTACTCCATGTCCCTCAAAGACGACTACCTCTGAAGGTGAACAAAGCGCCAAGCTGCAAGCTGCCACTGCAGATGTTGTAGTTGAACCGCAGAACGAATCGAAGTTACCGATTGCTGACAATGGTACTACTGCAGGAGCTACGAATGGAGCATTTCTAGATCATGCTGCGTCAGATGAAGCAGCGGCTGCTCCTGCTGCGTCGCCTCGTGACAGTTTTTCATCTTTTGATGACGACAATGCTGCTATCATCTCGGTAATCGCGACGAGCGAGGATCTGCGGGAAATGGGCCTCGAGGACCTGGAGGAAGTCGAAGCAGATGCGAGCAAGTGCGCCGCTCGTCCTGCTGGTGGTGCTTCCAATGCAGATGATATTAAAAATCTTTACGGCGCTCAAGAAGTAGTACAACCTCTTCAGCCGAACCCGTCGGACGAGCAGCTCCGTTGTGCCCTCGCAGCGATTCCGCGTCCACGTGGTCCTGACAAAAGTGCTCCTGAAGGTGAGAGTGAACAAGAAGGAAAAGACCCAAGTGTGGATCGGCTACTTCACGAAGGGCATAGTACAGCGCAGATCTGCAAGTTTGCCGACGAACACCCGGACGCCGGGAAGGCAGCGGCTATCGGAGGAACCGACTATATACCCTTGGAAGAGAAGCAGAGCAGCGATGAAAAGGACGAAGCGCCACGAGCCGCTGCCTTGGTGGAAGATACTTCTACCCAGGTGGAAGCTGAACCGAAGAAAAACGAGGAAATAAATCCTGAAGCTTGCACGACAGGTTTGGAGGTTCTTGCACAGCAGGAGCAGCCGAAAATGGGAGACGCTGTGGCACCAGCTTCTGTTATTTTCACTTCCAAAGATGAGACTGCTACGCATGCAGCTGAGGTTGGAAATGTTGAGAAACTTGACGACATCAAGCCAGACGAAGCTACTCCAGCTGCGGAAGGCAGTATCAATTCCGACCCGACCAGCACTGTTTCGGCGATTAAGCCCGAATGCGACCACCTCGATGAAAATGATTCGTCGTCGGATGAAAAAACTCCTCCAGAGATGACGCAACAGCAGGAAGAGGCGATGGAGCGCTGTAGTTCCTCGGCGCACCCCGCTGTCCCCGCTTCCGCACCGGAGAAACCACAGGCGCCCGCCACGGCTCCCGAGGTTCCTAATGCAGAATCAGAAATTCGTCAAGCCTCGATGAAAAAAGAAGATGAAAGCGAAAACCTGATGAACCACGACGGCGAAAACAACAAACAAGAAACACCAGTAGCTGTCGCATGCCCCGAAGATGTGGACGTTGAGCAAGATGACCAAGAGCAGCGACAAAAGAACCAAGAGGACAAAACTCCTGGTGCTAACCTATCAACCAGTCCCGCACTGGTGGACGACCAAAACGTCATTGCGCCCGTATGGCGTTCTCAAATGTTACATTCTCAACTGTTACACGAGTTTGTAATGCAAGAGTGGCAAAATCGAAAGGAGGAAGATTGCGCCTTTTGCATTACAGGTTTGGCACAGATTCTAATCCTATTTAGCGAGTCGCGGACTTGTCATGCGAAGCAGCTTGCTCATGTAGTTACTCATGGCAAACTTGCATGACAAATCATGTAACAGTTGAGAATGTAACGCTTGAGAACCCCATAGCCCGGCTTGGTGCAAGCGCGGATCGCTTCCTTCAATTCCCATGCCGTGACGAAGTCCCCCCCGAGTGGTCATGGCGCAAAACATAAAAGTTCCCCTTCTGCTAGTCGTGGGAACAAGGACAAGTCAGGACCGTCTATCGGAGCCAATAAACAACGACCCTCGGAGGTTGATGTTGAACAAAAGCGAGGCAGCGATGAGAACTACCACAAAGAACGGCGACGATCCGCGGTCTCATTGGATGACGCCACTCATGTGGAAACTGATCTGAACAAGAACGAAGAAAATACGTCGCCAAAAGTGGAAAGCGCGGAGATGCCGGTGGAAGTTCTTGCGCACCAGCAGGAGCCGAAAGAGCTCCCACATGCTTCGAAGGCAGCTGTAGACGAGGCTCTTTCCACCTCTTCCCGGATCATGGATGCTGCGTCCGTTTCGTCTCCGGCACCAGCACTACTATCCGCTGATGTTGTTGCAGCTCCTGAGGATGTAGCTCCCTGTTCAGAGGACCAAGACAAGGTTCAGGCCTCGAGGAAAGTAGAAGATGGCACTGCAGCTCCTCTTTGTGGTGATGAAGAGACGGGTCAAGAACGAGATGAGGTGTGCAATGAAAAAAAACTCGGGGCGGTACTCTCCCCTGTTGTGCGGAAACATGCTGCTGCTGCTCCTCCCGCCGCTTCATCTGCTACAGTGTCCGCTGCTGATGTTGATGGAGCTGAGATTCCTCTGGACGAGGAGCAAGATCAAACCGCTGAGAAATTGAAAGACGCCGTCGCGGGAGCAGTTCCTGGCGTTTCTCAGGAGATGATCAGCAAACAAGCCACAGTTCTTGTGAGCAAAAGTGACACACTTGAAGGAAAACAGCTGACCAAGCCAGAGCAAGCTCCAGTGCCTGCGGAATGCAATGACTCCGACGTCGGTGGTCCAATCGCTGTTTCGACCGAAGGGGGTGACATCGAAATTCCGTTGCGTGAAAAAGAACCTCCTGCAGCTAATTCGTCGTCGTTGGTGCAAGAATTGAAGAAAGTGGAAGATGATGCAAAGATTTCCGGCTACAATAGTGGTTCCTGTTCAAGTTCCTCGGCGCAGTTGTCCGCTGACCCAGCACCCGGCGCACCGGAGAAAGCACCGGCACCCACAGGAGCTGGTCCTGCTTCCCTCCAGGTACTTCTCAACAGTTACATAAATTTGTGTTGCACGATAACAAACGTCCAAGGGGAAAGATTGCGCGCTTCGCATTACAAATTTCGAAAGGATTCACCTGCTGTTAAGGGAATCGCGAGCTTGTCATGCTAAGTAGCTTGATCGTGTGGAGGGTGATAGCAAATTTGCATGACAAATCCATGTACGGCTGAGAGTGTAACGTTTGAGAACGCCATGTCCTGCTTCCCTCCAGGTACCTGTACCAGAACCGGACATCAGCATCCTCTCTGGAGTAAAGGATCACGCGGGTGAAGGGCAAGGTGAAGGAGGTGGAGCCCCCGTGCCTTCTGGCACTAGCACTTGCTTCCCTTTTACTTCTGGCGGTTCACTCGGAGCACACGACCAGGGCCGCGCACCAGCCGGAGGAGACGGCGCAGGCGGGCCTCCAAGTGACGGCGACGGCGACGGCAATGGGCCGCCAAGTGACGGCAGCGGCAATGGACCGCCAAGTGGCGACAAAAATGGCAATGGACCGCCAAGTGACGGTGACGGCGACGGCAACGCCCCCCCAGGTGGCGACGGCAATGGGCCGTCAAGTGGCGACGGCAATGGACCCCCAGCTGGCGGTGATAGCGGTGGACCGCCAAGTGGCGACGGCAATGGACCCCCAGCTGGCGGTGATGGCGGTGGACCACCAAGTGGCGGTAAAAATGGACCTCCAGCTGGCGGTGATGGCGGTGGACCACCAAATGGCGGTAATGGCGGTCGACCCCCGGCCCGTGGCGGTAGTGGCGGTGGACCTCCTGACGGAGGCGATGACGGTGATGACGACAGCCCAAGGAAAACCACGTCGGATGACGACGAAGATAGTGATGACGAGGACGTCGAGGAGATGACCCCGAAGAGCACCTACAACCCGCGACAGCACCAGGGGCAAAAAGCAGGCGAAGGCGAGCCTGTGCCGGGCGATAACTGGGAGGAGATTTGTGCGTGGAAAAAGCTGAATAACCCAAAGACCATATGAACTGCAACAGTATCGTACTCGTAGTAATTACTGCAGTTATGCATCACAAATCTCTATCTTAGAGCAAATCCGGATTATACAAATTCAATTTGAAATGCTGGGTCGATTTGTATTGCAATTTATACCAATAAAATACCAATAGCACGATACTTTTGCAATTCATACACCATGTACATCGACCAGTTTAGAGATGGCATCGACCGCGACACGAATCGCGAGATCGCGACTTTTATCAACTGCAAATATATCTGGGTCTGGAAGGTGGATCCGAACTTGTCATGCAAACTCTGGATTACACAAAAATTTGTGTTGCGTGAACGCCTAAAGCTGTCAACTTTTTGCTACGCAAATAGCGAGTTTCTCATGCAGGATAGGCATCAAGCGACCCCAAGAAAACTATGTCATGCTGCTGCGCGCATTTTTGCAGGGCATCTGTCTCTGTGTGACCCAAAAGATGCATGACAAACTTGCGCAATCTTCCAGACCCAGACATAATATTTGCATTTGATAACTTTCATCGCGTTTTGTACCTTTTCGTCTGCTTTTTCGTCTACGTTCGCATTGCTGGGAGGTGGCAATGGAAGCAGGGGAGTTCGTGGTGCGCGCTCTCATGACCTCATGGCACAGATGATGATGATGCAGCAAGCAGTCGTGGGCGGTGGTGGTCCTCTGGGTGACTACAACGATGCCCCATTGGGAGAATTGCTTTTCGGTGGCTATGGCGGACAAGGCAGCTACATGCTGAATGACGTCGATGACCAAGAAGATGACACTGTCAGCTATGACTTGCTCAAACGTTACAATCCCAAACGTTACAATAGAATCTGGAATCTGTGTTGCATGATGAGCATAGCAGACTTGCACCGCGTTCCTGTAGTTCCACCTTTTGCAATACAAATTTCGCCAGATCTTTGTAGTGGGTTTTGGGGCTCGGGAACTTGTCATGCGCAATCCTATGAGAGGTGTTGGCTAGATCTTGCACTCCTGCATCACAGATTTTCATATTCTATTGCAACGTTTGAGATTGTAACATCTGAGGGGGTTATATCAGCCTGGTTAGCTGCCCGCAGGCACGCATTGGGCTCGCCAACACGGACCGGGACATGCGGCTTATGCGGTTATCCTCGTTATTGGGCTTATGAAATGCAAAAACATAAAGATAAACATCGTAGTAGGATATATTGCATTACAAATTTTCCCAGAAGGACGAAAGGGACTTGTAGTGCTGATTTTGCTGAGCAACAAGATTTGTCATGCATAATTGCAATTAGCACGACTATACGATACTTTTTCACAGGATAAGGCAACGGCAACAGCAACTCCAACTTCTTCGCGAACAACCACGATGGAGATCATATTGATGCCGAATTCGATATGGACTTCTCAAATGTTACATTCTCAACTGTTACATGAATTTGTAACGCAAGACTGGCAAAAGTGAAAGCAGAGGAGGAAGATTGCGCCTTTTGCATTACACGTTTGGCGCAGATTCAGGTGCTGCGGGGTGGCAGCGGGGTGGCAACAGGGTGGCAACGGGGTGGCAACGGGGTGGCAACGGGGTGGCAAAGGGGTGGCAACGGGATGGCAGCGGGGTGGCAACGGGGTGGCAGCGGGGTGGCAGCGGGGTGGCAACGGGGTGGCAACGGGGTGGCAACGGGGTGGCAGTTTTGCATGACAAATTGGGTGGCAACGGGGTGGCAGTTTTGCATGACAAATTCATGCAACAGTTGAGAGTGTAACGTTTGAGAACGCCATATTCGACCACGCCAGCGTGCTTGAGGAAGTAGAATCCGTTCTGTTTCAAGATTGTGAATCACCAATGAGTTCGGCACGAAGCGTCGTGGAAGCCGCGATGCATCACCAAAGTTCTTCTACTCCATTTCGACTGGAAAACGCCCAAAACGCAAACGAAATGAGCTCGATGAAAATGTTGCCGCCAAGTGCAGCAAGTGGTTCTTCATCGTCTTCAGCATCGTCTTGCGCACCGAAGATGTTGAACCAGCAGCTCGTCCCGACGTCGTCCTTCCTGGGCGCAGCTGCACCAGGAGGAATGGAAATCGCAGAACTACAAGCTCATGGTGATCAAGCTGCTGACCAAGGATCTACTTGCTCTCCTGCGTTTGATGACTTGGATGTAAATCGTGATGCCAACGCTGCTCCCGACGTTGCGAAGGTGTCGGTCCACGACGAAAATAAAGCGGAGCCAAGTCCGGAGGTAGGTTCTTCTCGTACCGCTGGATTGTGCAGCTCTAGTACCTCCTGCAGCTCTAGCGTGGAATCGACCTACCCCATCGTGGTCGGAGGTGGGAAAAGCAGCTGCACCAGTGGCACGACGACTTTTTCTCCTGTTGTTGATGCTGATGGACTCGGAGAAAACGGCGAGGGGACCCTGTTTGGCGGAACTAGCGTTGTTCCGGGAGCCGCGCCTGCGAATGTTGAAAAATCCAGCACGTGCAGAGCCACCAGCAGCGCTGACAAACAAAACGGGGATAAAAATGTTGATCCTCGTAATATCAATGCTCAACTTCTTGCTGAAGACAAAGGCCTCAGTAAAATTTCCGAAGCCGCTGTCGAGCAGGAGGTCGCCGTGGCGAGCACAAGCCGTACCGCAACCTACAGGGAGAACGAGGACAAGAAGATGCCGTCCACCTCTCCGGTCGTGCCGGTTGTTCCTTGTTCCAGATTAATAAAGCCGGTCGTCTCTGAGGCAGACTTGCTGCGCAGTATTCGCAAAAAAGAAAGGTCTTCTGAGCAAGAGCTGTGTTCTCGCAACGACGTAAAAATTGTATCCTCAACCACCCAAATCCAAAAGATGATTGGCGAAAATAAAGAAAACGCTCCTGGACAAGTTCAAATCGCGTCGATGAATACAGACCCTCTCGCCGAGTCACGACCTGTGGAGAAGAAACTAGAGGAAGGTTCTTCCACAAAAATATCTTCCAGTTTGCTATTCCAGCGCGCTGCCCCGAAACGCGCCGCGGCGATGAAGTCGACGGGTCGTGGTGGCCAGGAGGATAACACTATTGAAACGGGCCAGGACATCACCATCACGGCAGTTCCGGCGCCAGGAACCAGCCCTAGTACGGATAAAACCGATGTCCTCGAGGATGTTCCCACACTATCATGCGCACAACAAACGAAAGATGAAAGTCAACCGGCTCCGCCTTCTTCACGTGAAAGTCAAGCGGCTCCGCCGTCTTGTCCACGACGAAAGAAAGGCAATAAAGTCCTCTCAGAAGCCGATCTGCTCGCGAGCATGGTGCTATGGCCTTCTCAAACGTTACAATCTCAAACGTTACAATAGAATCTGGATTTTGTCTTGCATGAAGAGCATGATGAACGTATGTAGAGTTGCGCCTTTTGCAATACAAATTTCGCCAGATATCAATGGCGTTTTGGGTGCCGAAACTTGTCATGCGCAAGTCTATGGGACTACGGTAGATCATGCACTTCCTGCATCACAGATTTCCATATTCTATTGTAACGTTTGAGATTGTAACGTTTGAGCAGGTTATAGCTGCAAAAATCTACTTCGGCAAGAAAAGAAATGAAACTGGAAAAGCAGCAAGAGCCGGCCCCGGCGCAGCCAAAAATTACTTCTACACTACACGACGACCCCCGGGAGGATGAGGAACTGAAAAATCATACTGAACTTCAATCGGGAGAGCTAGTGGCTTCTAAACAGCTTCGTCAAGAAGACAAGGAAGAAGACGACCGCGGTAGTACTCAAGATGTTGAAAAAGGCGAAGCGACGACGCTTGTTGAAGGACCACGAACTACGGAACCAGAACAACGAGAAATTTTTATCTCCAATGGAGAAGATGAAAAACGGGCAGTCGCAGACGAGCTCTGGAGCGACATTCTTGTAGTAGAACATGAACAACCGGAGAAGGAGAAAGAACAGAAGGCGGAGCATGATATTAGTAAACAAGCGGAGAAACAGCTGGAGCGAATTGTTCCAATTCCTCCTCTCGAGGTAGAAGAAGATAAAGCTCCTACTTCGACGGCTAACATGCTCGCGGAAGAGCCCGAGAGGAAAACGGGAATCGCGGAAAGCAAAGGCGTGATGATCGGGGGCGTTGTAGTACCAGCTGGTGCAAGAGAGGACATCGATACGTCGCCCCCGGTGGAAGAAGATGATCATCCTCAACATGTTGTTGAGACCGAAGAGCAAAGAAGAAAGCGGGAGGCGGCCGATAACCTCTGGGCCGATCTTGGAGGAGGTGCGTCGGGAACTTCTACATCCGAAAAAAACAAGAAAGGACGCGGTCTCACCCTGCTTTCAGCCGCCATCAAGCGGCCTGAGAATACTTCTTCTAAGGGACTTTTTTACAAGGCATCGGCGCCTAGGCCTGGTGCAGGAGCAGCTGCTGTCGTGCCTGCAAGTTCATCGAGTACAAGCGCCGCGGCTGGTGCCTCAGGTGATCTGGTAACCAAATGCGTGCGCGCGCGCGCGCAGAGCGCGCGCCGGCCCACGAAGCCGGCGCGCGCGCTCTGCGCGCTTGCGATATTGCTTAGCAAACGCAGCGCGAAGGCAGTTGCCGTTACCATATAGGGCAACCGCCGGG